ACAGATCCACAGTCCGGTATGCTAACCACTGCGTAGTTTAATGACTAGAATTTATTATAATTACAAATCCACAGTCCGGTATGCTAACCACTGCGTAGTTTAATGACTAGAATTTATTATAATTACAGATCCACAGTCCGGTATGCTAACCACTGCGTAGTTTAATGACTAGAATTTATTATAATTACAGATCAACAGTCCGGTATGCTAACCACTGCGTAGTTTAATGACTAGAATTTATTATAATTACAGATCCACAGTCCGGTATGCTAACCACTGCGTAGTTTAATGGCTAGAATTTATTATACTTACAGATCCACAGTCCGGTATGCTAACCACTGCGTAGTTTAATGACTAGAATTTTTTGAAATGGTCTAAACGATATAAGATACAAGTTGCTAGACTAAAAGAGATTGTTGGTTGATTAGGGAGTCTGTTACAGTAGTTAATTAATCACTGAGTTTGTTAGTCAATCTTTTGTTTCAGTTTCGTGAATAATTGTTGTTCGACGAAGAATTAAATTGTGGGGTGAGGGAGGCTTGACAAACTGAAGAATTGCCGACAAGGGGAATAGATGAAGAGGACCCAATTACTTTTTATACAGAGGTGTCAATATTTTGTAGTTCTGCTATTGGCCGAGGATGAGGATGCTCTTCTGATATAAGAAGTGTATCACTTAAAGAAATCAGTCCACGGGTCAATGGGTTAATTAATAAGAACCCTTGTAATTGACACTGGTTCTACAGCCACCATTGTTTGACTGACTTGTTAATAAGAGGTGAGAAATTACCACCAGGGATGGGTGGATTTATGTGTGAAGTAAGTGATCATAATGTTCGGGATGCTTCATTGAGGAAGAGTGGAAGTGATCTCATGTGGTGACATGGATAAAAGGTAAGCCTAGCTTCGAACAATCTCGTATTCTATGTCCAGGAAATCCTTGTGTACTAAACGACACATCACTAGAGACTGGAATTCCGGTAACAACAAAACTAGAAGCACGAGATTATGGTGTACAACAGAGCTGAATAAAGCCAAAGACAGGTCATCAACCGTGGTCATTAATGGCGTCTCTACCATTTTACTATTGGGGAGGGGTGTGTGTGTGTGTGGGTTCAAAACACGGATTAAACCGAATGAAAGACAACAAAAACTATTTTTAAAAAGTCTAATTGCAACTTGTAAACTTTTACAATAAAAGTTTCGGCATGCAATAAAAACACTGAAGGTTTTAATCACAAACTTTTACATCTACAAATTGTCATGTACGCAAACTACAATAGATATCAAGGTTTCATGACTATGAATCTTCGCTGAGTTACGTTTGCAAGTTTTTAAAACTTTGCTCAACTAAGTATACGATAATCCACCTTAAAAGTTATGTTTCATGACAAGTCAGAAAACTTAGCATACACAGGTGATTTAGATGGTTACCCTTCCATTCTTAACTTGCACCTATATATTTATACATTCTCAACTTCAAATGATAAAAGAACCCTTCGATAAAATTCCAGCTATAGGTTAAACGAAAAACAATGCAGTGATAAAAACAATACAAACCCAGATTTCTTCTTACGGAATGCTCTATCATCCGGTAAAACAAATGCTGAATCCTTCGATAAAATTTTAAAGTTTCAAAGCAGAGTAGATAACAATGGAATGTGAAGTTTCTTGTTACTGAAGAACAGTTTTGCATTTGGTAAACCTCATGCTGCACTAACCTATAAAATTTTAAATTCGTTTTACCAATGAGCCAATTTCATTGGTGGGTGTGCTTGGCATCATTCATCCTCCATCCACGATGTCACTAGTGACCATATTTATAAATACATTGGCAAATTGGCTAGCTTCAGAGAAGATTTCATCAGTGGTAAGTCAACTTGCTGAAGAGCCAGAGGATCCTGTCAAGAACACTTCTAGAGTTTTACCAAGGATGGAGCCACCAGTGGATCCTCTTGAGCATCTACTTGAAAAACAACAAACAAACAAACTCCTCCAATGATAAGAAATAAGTGTAAGTAGAGGGGAAGAGGTCAACCCATCTGTGTATCACAAGCCACAGTAAAGAAAACCACTAAAACATTTGGTAACTGGACAATTTAGGGACAGAAACTAAATATAGAAGAAGATTTCGTTATATGAAGTTTTGAAACAGCTAGTGGTAGGATAATCGATTTATTTCTGTACAGTGTTTCGTCTCTAACAGTGAGACATGATCATGTACAGCATTAACGTACAAATACGTTAAATGTTGTACGTGATTATGTCTCATTGCTGTAGACGAAACGTTGTATAGAAATAAATTTATTACCCTACAAATAGCTGTTTTAAACTTCATGTTGTTTCGTAACTTAAGGTGGTACCTAGTAAAAAGCAAAAAGAGTTTGTTATATTGGTTTGTTTGTTTGAAGTTAAGCACAAAGCTACACAATGGGCTATCTGTGCTCTGCCTACCACAGGTATCAAAACCCGGTTTCTAGCGTTGTAAGTCCGCAGACATACAGCTGTGCCACTGGAGGAGGGGAGGGCTGTTATATTGGTCAAACTTTTGATTGTACATTGTTTCATATATATAATTAATTATTGTAATTTCTATATTTAATTATATTAATTTTGTTAATTGTGAATAGTTACCTTATTGTTATTCATGAAAGTTTAAGTTTAATGTACCATTGTATTGTTTAAGTAATAGGGAGGGAGAAACGTTGTAGGTTATATTATCTAATTTAGACATTTGTATAGTTTTGTACACAAGGACTACTTAAGTAAAAGTTTTTAATATGTCACTATAATTCAAGTATTTCAGTAATGTCTGATACATCACCACGAAAATACGATTACACGTGAGAACACAGGCGGCCCTAGGTCTTGTTGAGGTTAAAAAAAGAACTACTCTGACAGATTAAATTCCTGAAAATATGCATGTTAATCAAATTATGTAAAACATATATTGAGATTATAAAACATTTTGCATCACGCCTTTTATCATTACTAACCAAAATTATTTAATGATATTTCGCTTGATATTCTGTAATTTAAAAGAAACAGAAAAATAGATGTATAGTGTTTAAAGTTAACAACATTTTTTCATACAGAGTAATATTTTCTCTAGGTATTTTATCTACCTTCTTTGAAGTGTATCTATGTCAGCTGATTTATTACCAATATTACGTCATTTACAGAAGAGGGTGGAGTTATATTCGTGATCCGTGTGTTGCCCTTCTAAAGCTATTACTATCGCGCAGGCGTAGGAGTATGATTTATTTTGTGTAGTGTGTAGTACAGTATTGTGGTGTTCGAACTTATGAAAGTTCTTGAAATTTAACTAAGTCAATGTATTGTTTTCATTCCAAACCCATTCTTTATATAGATCAATTCAAGTAAAATTTTACATAGTTATTTTAAAGTTAGTTCTAACCAGAAAACGCCTCTATGAAAGGAGGTATTATTTATTTAATTCTCTTTTGTCTCTTTTATTTTCAAGATGGCGGCTTGAGAAAACTAGTTATACTTAATTTTTACGATTATTTTATGAAATTTAAAACTGATAATGGTATTCAATAATTGTTGCAGCTATGGAACTAAGAGTTGGAAACAAGTATCGACTTGGAAGAAAAATCGGTAGTGGATCTTTTGGTGACATTTATCTTGGTAAGTAAGAATTAAAATTGATACATTCATTTTGATTTTAATTACAATTCAAAGTTGACTGGCCAAGATTGCTCTTGTATCCGAGTCTGTCCTAAGAATAAATAACGTTAGCGAGTATTCTCGTAAGCCTAACATTAAAACGTTAAGCCTATTACTATTATTAGTACTACGCCGTTAATGATGTTAATTTTGTCGTTCTAATTTATAAATATAACTTATAAGTTAAAATTGAACTTGCAACTTTGAAGGTCAAAGTAAACTGCATTGAAGATTAAACTTAACAGAATCGGAACAGTACCATTGATTAATAACAATGAAGATGATGGGGAAAATTGACTGACACTTCTGTTATTTGCAATTTCAAATTTAAATTACGTTATAAAGAAAAATTTAAGTACTGTTTTGGCTATTAATACTACTACTACTAATGTATATAATTAGGTCTATAACTTTATACTTTTTATAATGACTAAAACATCAGATACCTCCAGAGTTCAGGTTACACAACAGTAATATTATTAATGCCAGTTATGTCATCACCTGAACAGTGAATTTCAATTTTAACTTAAGAAGTCATAGTTTAAATGACTGAATTCTCAAGTGAGTTAGGGTTACAACACTTGAAATATATATATATATATATATATATATATATA